GTGTATATATATATATATATATATATATATATATATATATATACATACAACCACCAGTAGGAGTACACTCCCACTACCCTAGGGGGCACCAGTCATTGCTAGATAGCACAGATAAGTAGTCATAATGGAGGTCAGCTATTTTTCAAATGGTCTACACAGCTGAATTTATTTTGGTTGAATTGTCATTGGTTACTTTTCATTCACTTTCCATTCATTTGTTAATCACATGGTTACACATAACAAAATAAATTCAAAAGTTCAGTGTTTTTTCCCCTAGTTTTACATTACAAAAAGAAAAGATGGAGAAGTTGTTTCAGTAATGTGATCAGAAATTCCACGTATTGATTTAAGAAGAGCAGTAATGAGAAGTGAAGTGTGTTTACAGTGTGTTTTGAAAGCCTTTACTGTGCAGTTTTACAGTGTGTTGTGTTCACACGCAGTTTAACATTTGGATCAAGTGTAGTGCAGTGTAGTTATAAAAAAAAAAGGAAGAGAAAGGACAACCCAGGCAAAAGATCCACTTGTACCAGGATTACAAAAAAATCCCAGTGTTAACCGATATCTTATTTGTTGCACATTTGCATAGATTCATGTCAGGTAGTACTAGTTAAACACATTTTGAGTCTCCTATGCAGACAGAGCTACACTAGCATAATATATATATTTTTTCAAGTGAAATGCAGCATTTGTATTCCAAGCTGTTTGAATTTCTGTGAAACACCTGACTTTGTATTGTGGACAGACTTTTCAAAGAGCCTGTTCAACTTTTGCACTGGACCTACGCCGTAGCCTTTGCACAGTGGTCTACACGGATCATAGTTCATAGATCTGCATTGATGTCTAGGCATCTGTTTATCTCTCATATTATGATTGGTATTACCATTATATGGTTTATTTTTAGATCATTTAGAACATTTTTTAGAACAGTAGATTCCTTTACCTTTTACGTAATGTATGTAATCATCTTTCATGAGATGCTTCAAGCAATCAAGCTCTGTAACATTCATAGATGCAAAGCTACTGCAGATATATTTTTATTATTATTATTATTATTATGCTGGTGGAATATCTTAAGTTACAAAGATGATGAATCACAGCTGTTGTGATCTACACCAAGGCTACAGCGTAGGTCTGACAGAAGTGTAAATTGCCCTTAACCTGTTTATTGGATTATACCACTGGAAAATACCACTTTTTAGGTTTTAGTCATTTTTATGATTAAATATCTGGTCTCATTTCACTTCAGAATGCTACAGAAGGAAAAGGAAACTTGTGTACACATGTACAGTGCTTGAATATTTAGGTTTTGTTAATATAACATTATTTAAAAAATAATGAAGCATTGATTATTTCATGCAATGCAATTACAATTTGTGTTTTATTTAAGCATTATTTGGTTGTAAATGTAAAACTCTGTATTTGTATTTTTGAAGGGATCATCAACAGTATCTGAACACATCCCAACAGACTCACCGGAGTCACAAGATGAGGTATTTGGTAAGAAATTTTTTTTGTGTTATTTATTAATTTGCATATATATATTTTTTTGTCTGTATATCTACTAATCAGGGATTACTGGCAAGATGTGCTCAAGTCTAGTTGTGTAAAGTTAAGGCTGCCACTCCTCTTCTGTACTTTGAACTGATAAAACCTGAATCCTTACATTGGAAAGCATCGTGGATGGTTCCCTAGTCTCAGCCCGGCAATAAACTGTCCAGGGGCCCAGAAACCCTAGCGGAATTCCTGCATATCGCACACAAAGCCGCAAAGCACTTTATGCGTTTGGCAAGCTCTGATCTGACTGGATGGCTTTTACGCAACTTTCCAGAGTAAAGGGCGCACAAGTTATGAATCCATCTGGAAACCAAACCAATGTGCTGAATTGATATAAAAAATACTAGTCACTGGATTTGATGATGTGGCAAATCAAAGATATACTCTAGTTTTGTCTTGTAATATAGTTTTGTTTAAGACAGTAAGTAGCAAGGAAACTAGATATAGATGTATTTATTACTTTTGGGGCAAACTGAAATTCGCATGCAGAAACACACATGCAGAAGTCTGTTATTTCCCTACTACCATTCATAGCCATTATTTGAGTTAGTGTACAAATGGTGTGAAATGTGGGAAGTGTATAGGTGTGGACAGCAGTTTATTACTGAGAAGTTGTTCCACATCCTGATATCATCAGCAGGTGGATTGCTTGAGTGGAATAATACGAATGTTTATCTTCACTCTAAATTAGGCTGCTTAAAAAAAATTAAAATTTTTATTACAAGCTTTTTGTGGCAATAACCATGCATACAAAAACAATAATAGCTATGTTTTTCTCTGCATGTGTGTTCTGGAGTGAGTGAGCAGATGACACAGTGGTGTTTCTACTGCATGTTTAAGGTTGTTGGAGCTAACACCAGCTGGCACAGGCTCCAGAGAGACTACAGGCTTCTGCGTCCATATTCAAAAGCTCATATTGTTCAGAAAGCTAGTCTGTCACTGCCTTCACTGTTCACTGCCCAAACGTCATTGTTCTCTTTCTCTCACTCTGTGTGGAAATTATGTTATTATCTACTACTATTCCAGTGGTTGTAACTACAGGGCTCCAAACTGCGACTAAAACGGTCGCATTTGCGACCAAAAATATTACTTTGCGAGTGAAGTTTTTGCTGAGGTCGCCACTGGCGACTATATATATTTACATGTCATAACTTAAAAAATTGCATGTAATGCCCTTTTTCCTGATTGTTTTGCGATCACATCTTTTGTTATGTTCACGTATTAAACTGAGACTATGCTTGCGCATCAAAGCTTTAGTGGAAAAAAGAGTTTCAAACAGTCCTCATCTCTGCCGCACAGCAGCATTGACAGCACACCTGCTAAACGCAGCTCAGTTGTGCAGCGCGAGGGAGATCGAAATGACATGATGATATTACGCAGCGCCTGAAAATAGGCTAACTTCCGTCAAGTCGGTCTTAGTACACGATGTAACTACAGAAGAGTCGAGTTTTAAATAGGAAAAATATAGAAACTCTATGGTCAATTTTGAGCGAGATGCTAACGGTCTAATCAGATTCAATGATCTATGCTAAGCTACAGCTAAAAGTGCTACCGCCATACCCGGAGATCGGCTGAACGGATTCAAAAATGGTAAAACTCAACTGTTTAACTCTAGGGGAGTTGGAAAATGAGCCTATTTTTAAAATAGTGGAGTGTTCCTTTAAAGAACCATCTCTTTCTCAACTTTTTATAATCTGAAGATGTTTAAGGTTCTTTATGAAACCATTTCGACAAAAAAGGTTCTTCTATGGCATCATGAAGCACCTTTATTTTTAAGTGTATGACAACATTTACAGGATGCATTGAGGAGGAGCCCAAACTACACTCAGTGGCCAAGTGATGCTTATGGTCCACGATATTGGTACAGATTCTGTGTAATGAACAATTCTTTGTGACTGAATATTTCAAGCTGGAAAAGACATTTAGTTCCCACTTTAAGTGAACCTTAGTTCCCAGGTCATCTACAAGATGGATTAAAATGCTGATAAAGTCAAGAAAAGATGAGACATCAACACATGACAGTAAGATTGAAATGTTAAAATGTAAAATAAATAAATAAATAATACAAATAAAATAAATAAAACACGTTTATTCTGTGGCACCTTAAAAAATAATTTTTTCTTATAGGAGCCAATGGCTCCTTACGTGATTTTTTTTGTCTGGAGCCCTGAACTACAAACTATTTTAAACAGCATTTTTCTTCTTTGATCATTAAAGATGCAGTTTGTTTATTTATTCATTTTTAATGAGATTACATTAACTGACAAATTGTATGGAAACTACATCAGAACCATTTGTGAGGTAACTGGGGAAAAAAATTAAAATAAAAGATAATGGAACACTTTAAAGAAATGGTGGTCAGTTACAGCACCTGCAATATAGATCTTCTCTTATACATTTAGCCTATGTACATTTTAATTGCAAATATTAATGTTAAAAAAGTTAATGTTCGTATTTGGTAGAGCAGTGTTTCCCAACTTTTTTTAGTCGCGGCACCCTTTGGAAATTTTGACAACCTTGTGGCACCTTACAAAATTAATTTTGTCACAATATTTGAATTTCTAACTTCGATATGATAATTTGAAAAGTATAGATATTCGGTGCAACAGGGAAGAACTGCAGAATATAATGTCATACAGATATTTTTAATATTATTAAAAGAATTTGTCCATCAATGGTGGCAATCAGTAGGCTAATTTCTAATGAAGAGACCAATTTATATGACAGATTTTAATGTAGGCTTTTATACATATGTAAACATTATTTAATTACCATTATAACTAGCTATCTCACAAATTTTTGCTCACTCAATGTTTTTTTAATTTTACAGTGGGGTAATTTTGGTGCAGTAGCACGAGATAGCTTGATTTCAAACTTTGAATTGAATAAAAAATGACAAGTAAGCAGTCAGGTAGGGCTATTGCAGACAGAAACAATACTGTACTACATCGATGTTTCCTGTCGGCTCAATTTTTGAGTGGACTTTGCTGTTCCGATGAGCATGAACGGTATACGAGTGGAGCGACTGAGCGGAGCGCACACACGCATAGAGCGGGATAATACGCAGAGCGTCACACCACGTGAAAGTGAAACCTGAGCGGTGAACTAATTTTCGGCAGCCGAAATTTCGGTGCATCTCTAATTATTGGCGACATCAGAAATGGATATTATATAATAGATGCTTTTTTGAACATTTTAGCAATTTAAAAATATTAAAAAATGATTTTTTTACACGGCACCCCTGCTCTCGACAGACGGCACCCTGGTTGGGAAACACTGTGGTAGAGTTTAGTGTTTTTTCCCCCATATAGAATCAAAATATAATATAGAAGCCAGATATTTGTAGCAGTTTTTCTGTTTACCTTTTATTCCCTTAAAATGTCTTAATTCATGTGTAATCATATTGTATATTTTACACTTAAACAGCAAATAAAGGAATTTGACCTTGAAAAAATCAATTGCTGCAAACGTATGGGCCTACATGTTTAGACTACTGAACATCAAATGATTCATTTGATGTTCAGTAGTCTATAAAAATGATTCATTTGATGTTCAGTAGTCTATAAAAATGATTCATTTGATGTTCAGTAGTCTAAACATGTATACGTTTGCAGCAACTGATTTTTTCAAGCTCAAATTCTTTATTTGTTGTTTAAGTGGAAAAGCAATGCCCAAATAATAACTTTGTATTTATTTTCTTGTAAAGCAAATTGAGTCCAATCCAGTTAATGTTTTAGTAGTTTATCATGCCAGTGTATTTCTTCTCCTCATTAGAACTGCAGTAGAAAGAGTTTTGAATAAATAAGAGGAAAGTAATTCTCTCAGCATAGTTTACGTTTTACTATATTTAAATCCAGCACAGTATCAGTGCAGAAAGTGTGAATATGTTGTGTTTGTAACACATGTATTTGTTAACACTGCTTCACTGATTTACGTTTGGCAGTGCTGAAATATTTGTGAACATTCTCACATAAATTCAGTCAAAAAATGGAAAACACAGTTTTTCTAATTTACTCATGTTAGTTGTGATCTACACAACAAAACTGTTTTTCTTCCTAACTTGATGTGCAATACTAGATACAATTATCAAGGGCAAATATTAACTTTATTAATTTTAACAAATAATAACTTAAAATATTGAGCTCTATCGTACATAGTCAAGTATGTACACTTAGAGCTCAATTTATTTTTGCTGTAGAAATTACTGAAGCTGTACTTCTCAGTATACTTTGCATGCGTCTTAATGGAGAGAGTAAAGAGGGAGACTTAATAGTATTTAATGTTCAGTTATGTAGAGAACCGTTTCAGTTACACAGGGTTATCATTGTGGTGCTTTTACATAAAGAGGATGTTTTGGCAGGTTTATACAATGAGCATTTAATACTAAGCATACTAAGGTCACCCAAAAATTTAAATTCTGTCATTAATTACTCACCCTCATGTCATTCTAAACCTGTTAGACCTCCGTTCATCTTCGGAACACAAATTAAGATATTTTTGATGAAATCCGAGAGCTTTCTGACCCTCCATAGACAGCAAGGATCCTAACATGATCAAGGCTCAGAAACATAGTAAAGACATCATTAAAACAGTCCATGTGCCATCAGTGGTTCAACCGTAATATTCATTTAACCGTAATTGTTGAATAAAGTCGTTGTTTTTGTTTTCTTTGTGCACATAAAGTATTCTCGTAGCTTCATAAAATTACGGTTGAACCACTGATGTCACATGTACTGTTTTAACGATGTCTTTACTACGTTTCTGGACATTGATTGTGGTAGGACCCTTGCTGTCTATGGAGGGTCAGAAAGCTCTCGGATTTCATCAAAAATATCTTAATTTGTGTTCTGAAGATGAACGGAGGTCTTACGGGTTTGGAACAATATGAGGGTGAGTAATTAATGACAGAATTTTCATTTTTGGGTGAACTATCCCTTTAACAT